GACATTTCTGTGAAAGCATATACCTGCTATTGCTAGGATTTATAATGTAACACAACCAGTCTGTTAATGCCTTTTGAGTTGTTCTGAAGCTAATCAGCATGTTCAAATGCACTTGTTTCATGCTCTGCAAAGTGCCGTGAAAAGTACACTGTGCTTCACATTCATTGTAAAAAAAGCTCTTTAATGGCGAGAGACTCAGAATTGGTTCTTTCGGGAAGGAATGAAGTGGCTTCTGCTTACTCTGACATGGGAAATTCATCCCCATTCTAAGGTCTAAGGAGACCCTCAGAGGTAAGAAGAAAGGACCTTCAAACCATGCTTTATGTTTGGAGGTATATGCCCAGCCTACAGACAAGAGTTGCCCCAATGCATTTTTTTACTCACATCCAACCTACCACTACAGTTGGCATTATTGGGTATTCCTGCCACTGACACCAATGGGTTGTACCCCACCAAAGAAAAGCTTTTGAATTCCTGATCTTAGACATTGCTTGAGAGCAAATAGGTAAAGATAAAGCATATCAGGTAAAAATTAAAGGTGATCTTCATGGTACTGTAATATGTATTTTCAGTAAGTCCAGGTTCCCAAAAAGTCTTGATTCCAAAATTTGCTGCTAGAGCTGAGAGGAGCACTCGGAAGTACAAGCTCCTGTTTGCCCATATTCTAGTACTTCAGGTAGACAGCTTTTTTTTCCCAGAGGTAAGGCAGAAATAAAAGTGAATGAACCTCCTCTTACAGAAGAGAGTGTGCTAATGAAACATTAATACACCGCCAGTGCAGAAGTCTGGAATTAAAAATTGAAAGACCTATTTGTATTACAATTTGCATTCAGGATTGGCACTAATTGGCAATGATGTTGGCAGTCTCAACAGGGAGGGCAAGAACTGAGTAAGCATGGAGACTTATTCATCCAATGAAGTGGTTCTTCCAGGTCAGGCTTAATGCACATTTACTATGCAGAAAAGGAAGCAGAGCGATGTTGCTGCCAGTAGTGTAACTGCATTATTTGGAGAGCCTTGTCTTCGCCTGGTCTGTCAGTTTTGTCTAGGAATTTTCTCCGTTGCTAACCCCACTATCAGGGTGTTTTGAAAACTGCTTCTTGCAGATGCACACTTATGCTTAAACATGCAGAATCAAAAAGGAAGAGAGTATTCTAAGCAACACAAAAAATAATTTCACAGAACACTGCCTAGTTAAAAAAGACAATGATTGGAAGACAACTAATGTCATAATGCAGTTTTACTGCATAAAACTGATACAGTAGCTATTACAAACATCTATTTTTTACATTTGACCCATTAAAGCTACAGCATGGGACAGATGTTTGCCCTGCTCAAACCATTGTTCTACCTCTTTTGAGTCTTTCAATTTTCTCTGGTTTATTCAATACACTGCTGCAATGCTAACTTTCTTTGCATGTCATTTTTATCATGTATTTGCTGCTTTGACTTCTTGGTAAAGACCCTGATCCTTATCTTTGAAGCCCAGTTAACAAAACTAATCATTATCTTAGTGTCTTTTCATGCTAGGATTTACTGACCATCTTTCTGTAATGTTCATCAAGAAGTTTGGGGGGAGGGAGGCTCTCTGTGGCTGTCCTTATGTGAAACAACACTCCTTTTGATTCTGTAACTGTTGTACTCTGTAAGTAATGGGGGGAGGTCAGTTGTATTGTTGCACAGGATTGTGAGAGAGAAAAGGGGGCTGGGTGGCTCGAAGTGGTGTCTTGTTGCAACGCTTGAGGGGAGGGGGCTGCGACGGTGAGGAGGCTGCCAGTGGGAGCTTCTCGAAACTTCTCGGTAATGAGACCCCCTGCAACAAAGAGAACCAATGGGGAAGAGCCATGTCAACATCCGAGTGAGGAGGGGCGACAGGATTGGCTGGGGCCTTGAACCGAAAGGGATAAAGGACCACCTCCCAGGGACCGCGTGTGCGCGTCTTGGGCGGAACGGAAAACTCACCGTCGCGCCCAGCGCTGTTTTATCTGCTATCGCTTACTCAGTTTAATAGAGCTTATACTTTAAACCGAAATTGGCTACAATATTGATAACATTTCTACACTTAATTTTTTTTTTTTGTCTTTACCTTATACCTGGTGACCTTGTGCCAAAATAGTCAAGAAATCTGTTAGTCATTCTTCCAGTCATTCAAGTCCACACAGAATGTAAGCATTTCCAACCAGGAGTACTATCAAGGAGTTTTGAGAATGCCTTTTCTTTCTTTTCTGTAATTTGTTTTCAGTTAACTATGCCATGAGAGCCCCGAGTAGTGCACATAGTGAACAGCTGTACCACACTGTATGACTATTTTTTTCTAATTACAAATCCTGTGAACGCTGTGTTTCAATTTCAATTTGTTCAGTGACCACCACCACTTACGGAGAGGAGGTAAGATCCTGCTGGAAGGAATGGGAGGAAATGGACCTTTCCTTTCTTGAGGTGCAGAGGAAAGAGCAGGAATTGGTTAAGAGGAGCCAGCTGTGGCTGTGTAGCACAGAGTGGGTGACTGCTGTGTGTACGGGGGACAGGCAGGAAGGGGAAAGTTTGGCAGGTCAGAGCATGGCTGCTTGTAAATGTACAGGTGAAAAAAGGGCAAATGTTCCCAAAGCTGAGCCTGGCTGCTGCTGTAGCTGAGGTTGGACCACTCTTAAGCTACACTAGTTTCCACCAGATGAATCTACTAATGACTGACAAGAGGTGCACAAAGCTTATTAAAAATGGACGTCTTCTTAAAAAATACTCTCAAAATGAGCTACTCAAGTCATGCCAGATACACAGTGTTTTGCTGTGAAGTACATCACTGATTGATGATGGTCAAGTACAAGCGACAGGACTTTCCCGAAGATGGAAAATGACATAAACTTCTGTCTTTGTGGCTTTTAGCTTTAGTACCCTTTAGCAACTATAGGCAGCATAGCATCCCTCATCTGTTTTAAGACAATGTTGGCAGAGTTGGTCTGCCATAGTTTAGAGGCCAGAGCAGAACAATACTGTCACTTACCTGTAACTTCTGGATGATATAATAAAACTTGAGTGCCTTCTAATTTCAATTTACGGCATAAATTAGAGCAGTTCAGTGATTATCCTAATATATGCCTTGCTGCCCCCAGATTACAGGTGGTGGTCTGGCAGTTGATAGTAACTGAAGTGTAGTAGCACTTTGGCTAAGCTCCTATTTTTTCCCAGGCAGTAGGAGAAAAGGAAGTGACAAAAGATCTGCAGTGTTGGTTTTCACCACCTGGCAATTTTCCTACACATCGCAAATCCCCAGGTAGAAAATTAAGCCAGTTGTGACATGACACTAAAGGAGAAGCAGAATCCCACTGGAGGTTTGGCTTTAAAAACTGAGGGCTCCGGAATTATGATTAAGTCCAGATTTTGGAGATAACAGGAGTTTGTCTGCAGAACCTAGAATACTAAGGAGGAACTCTCTTCTCTGATCAGTTAAAATTACTATAGTTAAGTTTGGAGTAGTGTGTGTAATTCACTTAGCTAAAATTAGTTCTTGAATTTCTGCATATACTTCATGTTTCCTTATTATTAAATATTGGTACAGGCAAGTTTCTGGTTAAATGCTATAGCTACGGGTATTAAAATCCTCTTCCCCAGTAAATTAACTCCTATGCATTTTGAGGGCCTGATCTAAGTACTGACAAAAAGCCAAAAAGAACTATCACCACTGTTACAAACTAATACCCAGCTTTAATACCTTGTTCAAAGCAGAGAAAGACTGAGATTTGGAGAATTTTATATAGCTATTTTTTCTTCCACTATTAATCTGATAATCCGGATAGTTATCGTAACATTAAAAAAAAAATTTTTTTTTCATTTACCACCTGGGAATACTGGATAAACTTGTCAAATTACAAATCTGGAATAGGGGAGACTTGCATTTTATTTCCTACTTTCGTTATCTAAGTACTGTGTTAATTAGAGCACATCAATAACTGGTCTGTGCTCACATTTCTTTTCCTATGAAATTGGGATGTAACGATGCTGTGGGACTTTATTCATTACCAAAGTGCTTAATCTGATTTCACAATTCGATTAGCCCAGGGAACCCTGGGCTGTACGGGCATAAGTAAGTAATGTGTATGTATGTAATGTGTAATACACACACCCGTGTATACAGGTGTGTGTATATATTTATACATTATACTAGTATATTAGATTAGGATCCATGTTATCATTATGACATCTAAAACCAAAGTATTTTCAAGCCAGTATTTTAAAAATTGACACAGCCATTAGGTTTAAAAGCCATTTAGGTCCTTAAAGATCGAGGAGCTGTCTAGAAAGATTTGTATAAGCTTCAGGTGCCTCACTTCTGTGATCTGCTTCGGTTTCAGTGGCTCGAAAAGCCTAGTCATAAATCCCAATGTCAATGCCCGTTTCAAAGTCAAACACCTAAAAGGATTTAGTTTGCTTCAAAACCGTATCTAGGTGTACATACCCTTTACCAACGATAGGAAGCTGGCAAAGCCGCTGCGATAAACCGCTGATTGATAGTTCGTTTTTAGAGGAATAGCGTGTCGTAGAAAACTGTTGTCATAAGGAATCCCTGTCTGCGTTTACTCCTGTGGCACCTCCCAGAGCGGAGAGGCCCGCGGTGCGCCCGGCCCCGGGGTCTGGCAGATCCGGCTGTGGTCTCCGCACCGCGTGCTGTCGCCCGCCCCCTCCCTCGATCGAAGCAGGCGGTGCGACCGGGGGGGACCGCCAGCCCCGGGGAGTCGTGGCTTCGCGTCTAGGTCCTGCTGCCCTTCGCAGGGAGGGGCAGCGAGAAGGGTCCCTGTCCCTCGCCCCGTTCCCTAGCCCGCCGGCAGACCCAATCTTCTGCTGCACTCGCCGCCCTGAAATCTCTCCGCTATCAAATCCGCCTGATCCCCACAGTGGCCCCTTCTCTTCCCCTCCCCGCTCCGCTACCTGCCGCCCTCCCGCAGCTCTCCGACCTGCTCCGCCTCCCGCACCGCTAGCTCCGCCTGGCCAGGCCTAGCGCCGCCCGCAGGCATCACACGCCGCCGGGGAGCGCGGTGGCCGGCCCGGCTCCGGCGGTACTGCTGCCGCCGCGCCGTTACGCTCTGCGGGGCGGGGAGGCCACGGCTGCCGACTGTGGGTCATGCGGCCGGCGCGGCTCTGAGCCTCCGGCTATGGCGGAGAAACTTTCGTCGGCTCCGGAGCGACCGCGGGGCGCCGGACACGTCGGCTCCTCTTGCTCCAGCTCCTCCTCCGGCTCGGAAACTCTCTCCGATGAGGGAGAGCTTGGCGCCTGCGGGGCGGCGGCGACGGGGCGGCGGCGGCTCCCGAGCGAGGAGCGGGCGAGCACTGGCGGGCGGGCGGAGGAGGATGTCTCGCTAGAGGAGCGGGATGAAGAGGTGCGCGGGGCCGGGGGTGCGACGGCGTTCGCTTCTGTCGGCCACAGACGGGAGCGGTGTGGTTTCTGCTCCCCTGACTCTCACCCGTTCTGGCTGCTGGTAGTGAGGGCTGGGGGGTTTGCATGGAAGGGGTGTATTTTTCTTTTAAGGAACCTTTTTTTTTCTAGCGTGTCACCTTCGGATACCGTTGCTCTAAAGCAAACTCTTCAATGTCAGACGGAAGTGATGGACAAGCACCTAAACTACACTAATCCTCTTGTGAGAGCTAATGGCAGGCTGTAGATTATGGAGGATCTCTGTGGTTGATAGATATGTAGCGTGATACGCGGATAACGCGTGGTGGTCGCTCCCTGCCCATCCTGATTAGCTGCAGTATTTCTAACGGCACTCTTAAACCCAAAACAACTCCCCCCACTATGTTACTGTGAAGTGACCCTTTTGTATCTGAGACTGTGTCGTTTTTCTTGCTATGAACCCCAAACCAAGCATATTGGTCTGCCTGACTCCTGCTTTACTTTGTGTACATAATCTCCTGTATACCTTACAGGAGTGGCTGATGTACCTACCTTTTGTTGTGGTTAACTTTTTAATTTGCTCTTAGCTGGCGTTTCTTTATTCTGTACCTTTAAGCAGCTGGATGTGCAAAATTTTCTTGGGGGGAAACCCTCGCATTTTGAAAGGAATATCTTTGAAATGCTGACTGAAGTTATTTGCAACTAGCTGAGCTGTGGTTGCCAGTAATGTTTTCCTCTACAGTATGTGGATGAATATGTAGATCCTGCTTTACACTTCATTCCCTGATGCCTCTGCTACTAAACTGATAGAACAGTAGGATAGCAATGTGAATTTGATCTGATACGACTTTATCCTCCCCCCCTTTTTTTTTAATTATTATAATTTAAATACTCAAACTCGGGCCAGGGTCCTCCTCTGTTTCAATTGCATGAGCTCACAAAGGCTGGAATGTTTTTGCAGGAAAGTGCATTTATGATAGTGGTAGAAAGAATGTGGGTATATTTAAATTATTTAGTTATTTTTAATGGATGTAAACTTGCTTTATTCACTTGAACTGAGTAGGAGCTCTGTAGCTGTTAGCATGGTGCTCACTGGTAGGTAACTGATATATTCCGCTTCTCTGCAGGTCTTGTATGTGTGGGCTGGGGTCTGTGGTTACCACAACTATGTGGTGTCTAGTTGGTTTGGTGCTCAGTTGGTAAGCCTGCAAAATACGATAGAATACACAAAGGCTGTTTGTTCAAATAGCTGAACTCAGAGCTGCTGGCAGACCAGTAAAGTTCTGGTTAAGGCTAGTTAGTTCTGTGTGTGCTTTAGGGATGCATTATAGGTACCTTTTGAGTTGAAAATATGGGGAAGCCCAAAAAGAAGCAAATATTAAATTCATTAGAGTTTGGGAAATCTTCTACATGGGCAATCTAATACCTCACCTCCAGTTAGTAATGATAGGAGATACCAAAATAAACTTATTTTTATGTAATGGGAAAGTATGCTTAGAATATGCAGCCTTCTTCCCTTCCCTTTATTCCCTTCTGCTAGATTCCTTCATTATCTGAAACTAGTCTTTTTTTTGTGCTTTGGTTTTGCCTATTCTTCCATTTTGGGGCAGTGAGTGCTTGCGGCTGAATTCCTGCCTACATGCAGAGCTACCTGATAAGTGCACCTGTATAATCTTTTTTTTTTCTTTTTTTGTGCAAGGACACGACGATGGATTACAGTGCAGGAATAAATGAATGCATGTTAATTTGAAATTGAGAGAGTATCTATGTTACTTGCAAATTGAAACCCTTAAAGATAGTGAAAAAAGGCAAGACTAATGTCCAGGATTAGCGTACAGACAATTTCAAGCTTTCTTGATGTGCCACCTGCCAGAAGAGTCACATGGAGAGGAGAGCTTGAAGATACCATTTTCACATTAGCATCTTATCCTATTAGTGTCAAATAATGAAAATTACGATGTTTTCTGTTATGTTTCATTTACGAGTTCTTTTGGGTTTATGGATACCTCGTATTTGATTGTACTCTTCCAGGTTTCAGTTTTTCTCTTGTCCTGGCCTTGTTCCTGTTGCCAGCATAGCAGAATTGAATCTGTTGTCACGGCTGTTCAGTATCTTTTAGACAGCAGTGAAACAGATTGTTCCGATACCCCTCTTGATGCTACTTTAGCTGTCAGTAAATTCTTCAAAGCCATGACATAAAAAATATTTTCAAACTGCATTTATAAATAAGTAATTAGAAAACAAGCATATTTTCCTATACGTGTTACTTACTTCATGTGGTATTCCAGTAGAACTGTTACTCTCCTGTGACACTGTATACAACATACTTGACAACTCTGATCTTGTCTCCTCCTAGACCTCTTCTTCAGACTAAACAACCCCAGTGGCTTTAATCTTCCTATATAGAATGTGTTTCCAGACATCTGATCATTCTCATTGCTGTCTTGTGGAGTCTTTCCATCTGGTCACATCTTTCTTGAAGCATGATATCAGAAAGCAGGATGCCATACTCAGATTTAGGTCTTGCCAGAGCTGAACTGAACAGAAAGATTATTTCAGAGGTCTCACAAGCAATGTTACTGTTTACGTAGCCCAAACTGCTCATTTACAGTTTGTGGTCTGTTACGAGTTTTGCCTTTTTCTGAAGAATGATGTGAATGTTTCTGCTTTACCAAAAAGGACAATTTGTCTCCCCACCTTGGTGAAGGAAACTTAATGCTGTCACTTATGGTGGGGCTGCTTCTTTTCTATCCATAAATTAAATAGTAGAAGTGAAAGCTTGTTAATTTGTTTTCTGAGTATCACATCTGAAAGAGTTAATTCCTGGAGGCAGATAGTGAAGGGAGAGGTGAGAAGAAAAGGTACATCGCTACTTTGTTTTTGTGGTGGTGTTGTTTTGGGTGGTTTTTTTTTCTATTATTACTTCATCCTACTCTTCTGTAAACTTCACCTTAAAATTACAAAACAACCAAAGAAAACCAGCCTCTCATTTCATGTAAGCAAGGACAAATGATAGTTTACAGGATCATGGCCATCAGTTACTAAGGTGTTTTTGATGTTATACTCTTAGACTCATGAGAATGAAACATGGCTTTAACCTTGTGTGGGAAGTGCTTTGCTTCAAAAACATCAGTGCATTGAAGTGATGTGGATAGCAAACAGTTGAAACTATGGCTTTAACCTCATGTGGGAGGTGCTTTGCTTCAGAACCGTCAGTGCATTGAAGTGATGTGGATAGCAAACAATTGAAACTGAACTGAATTCCAGAGGATTATTTGCCTATGCTCTTGTGAGGTGAGTGGCTAACTGCTGGCAGGAGCAGCCAGGATAGGATTGCATAGTGAAGGCCACTCAAGACAAACACTACATAGAGGATGGCTTGCTGCTTTAATGTAGCATGGTTGTTTAGTTTTTTAAGGATTATTCTGTATTCTCTTCAGAACTCTTGTTAGACTATTTTCCAGATTGTCAAAGGAGGAGCTGAAGCTGGGCAGTGGCACGTTTTCTGTTGAAATCTGGCTGCTTCAACAGTCTGTGGATAGTCAATACCAGAACGGGATTATGCAGAAAGGGCTGAAAGCAAAAACTCCAGGATTTTCCTATTTTCCTTTCTCTTGTATTTCTATCTTCTCTACACTAGTCTTTCTTCTAGCAAAAAAAAAAAAGTGACTGTGAACAGGAAACATGTTTTATGAAGTTTACTGAGGCAAGTGATGCCAAGTGTCATTTGGCTGCATTAATTTCTCTCATTCAGAATATTTTACAGTCTTCAGTACAGCATGATGTATGTGATTTTTTGTTGGTGGCTTCCAAATCTCAGTCAGTGTTTTACAGGGTAAGTGAGAGCTCACTTGGGTTAATCCTCTCTTATAAAAAGAGGATGAAGACAAGCTACGGATTCATCGCCTACAGCAGTAATCTTAAGGATTTGAAGGTTAAATTGTATGTTTTAGAGTTGTCTGCCTTTTCTGTCTCTGTCAGCTGACCTACTGAAAGACCTTGTCTTTCTACAAACCTTGTAACAGTAATTGGGAATGCACATTGCTTACCAGAGCAGAGTATCAAGCCAGAGAGGATCAGTGGTCTTCAGAGGGAATAATAGTGTGTCATATAGCACAGCTGTATTGGTCTGAAAAGGATCCAGAAGCTTCTGAACCCACCAGTGTCTTCTGGATTAAAATAGTATGTCCTCTTCGTCATTTTAGATGCTTTGCAAAAACCCGAAAACCTCCCATGAAGAAAAAAGGGGGGGGGGTGGGGGGGGGAGAATGTAGTGTTTTGTTGTCAGATGATTTCAGTTCTTGCTTTGTAAATTAAATGTCACTGACTAAACTGTTAGTAAGGGTTGATTCTGTGTTGAAAAGATGATGAGCAACTGTAAGGACAGGGTTGCTTCTGAAAAATGTCCACTGACCTGTGAGGTTGATGGTTCTACATTTTTACTCTCTAGTTGATGTGTATCATATTACAAAGATACTGCACTACACAGAATGAGAAGCACAAGAGCTTTTTCTGTTGCTGCTAACTCGTTGCCTGAATGTGCCTTCTTGCTGTTTCTGTTGCAGTCTGTTGTGGCTTCAGGAGGACTGTATGGTGAGAATGAATTACTGGGAATCTAAGATTCTGTTACGAATGTACTCATAGCAAGGTGAAGATGGTGTTAGAGAAAGTATTGCTCTAAAAGCTGCTCTTTCACACATTTGTCCTTGAGCATATGTCCTCTAGAGAGCTATAGTACCTCCAGCATTACAGATTGTCTGCCAGATCTTCACCTCAACAAGACTGTAGTGTAATTTGCAGGAGGGTGGAAATCAAATGCTTCAGGATAAAGTAAGCGAAGAGTGTATGAAGTGATGGCAACATTAAAATGTGCATCCATGTATAACAGAGATGGTGATAGTTCTGTCAAAATAATCACTGTGACCTAACTAGTAATGAAGTTTTTGTTATTTTTTTTTTTCCCTCCTGCTTGTCCTGCTGAAGTAT